TCTCAGAGTCGCGGTCGCGAGCCCTGCCTCCGGATTTCCGAACCCTCTTTTGCGCCTTGCCTCGGTTTGTGAACCAGACTTGGTTTTCTTTGTTTCTTTTCCTGAGGGGAGGGAGAGGTCCCGTAGACCATCTCTCAGTGGCCGTGGGCTACATTTTGTGGCTGTAGGCCATTTTGCCCATTTCGGAGCCCGGTTTCCGGTTTTTCGGGACCGTTGGCCGTGTGCCTCGGTTCGGGACCGCCTAACCATCTCCGTTTGCTCTGATTTTTGGCATACTTCTTATTTCTCTCAGTGGCCGTGGGCTACATTTTGTGGCTGTAGGCCATTTTGTCCATTTTGGAGCCCGGTTCCCGGTTTTCGGAGCCTTCAGGCCGTGTGCCTCGGTTCGGGACCGCTTAACCACCTCCATTTGCCCCGGTTCTTGGCATGCATCTTATTTACTCCCTTTTGAGGGACACTGAGGTCTGAGAGACCCACTTCGTGGTCGAGTGCCACTTTCGGTGCTTAACAGGCAGTTTTCGAGGCCCCGAACTGCGTGTTCTGGCCCCCGAACATTCGTTTTGCATCGGTTTTCGTTCATTTTTGGCAGGTACCTCTGTTTCATCACCAGGAAGGCCGTAGAAGGGTGGGAGACCAGCAATTGTTTCAGCAACCAGTTATATTCCTCCGGCGCCCTCCGACGCCCATTTTTTTCTCACTTCCAAGCCAATGTTGAACAACCTTGGGCCATTTTCTTGAACTTTTAACCACATATTTGTGTTGTACACACATGGGAGGACACAAAAGTTGGTGGCCGGCCAGTAATTCCATCTGACCCTTTTGACCTCCCCTAAAAGTGGCTTGTTCTCTCTCCTGTTTTACAGTTACCAATTTTGAACCACAGAGTTGTGTTGAGGACACTTGGGAGGACACCAATTTGTGGTGGCCAGCCACTAAATCTTCTTGACCTTTTTGACCCTTAGCCGGCCGGCCATGGAAGGTAGCCGGCCGGCCACCTGCAGCTCCAAAAACTGGCCGGCCATGATCCTTGCAATGTGTACTTTACAGCTGTATAGCTGTTTTTCCCCAAAAATATCTGTATCCGGGGGACAGCTTTTGGGGGAGAACTTGGTCTTTTTTCCCCCACTCTCTCCCTCCCTTTTCTCCCTCTCCTTGGTCCATATAACCAGCTGCCATCTCTTGTATTACACCAAGCACCACCACCACTACTCCATTTCCAGCAGTTTGGGGAGCTTTCCAGCAGCCAGGAGGCATCACTTCTCAAGCCAAGAAGCAACCAAAGACTTGTCTTCAAGGGTGAGTAGTATTTCTCCTTTTTTGAGCTTATTTTGGTATCATTTCTTAGCCATACATGCTTGCTGTTTTGAGCTCCGACCAAAACTGAAAAGGTCATTTTTTTGAGCTCATTTTCTTATCTCATTAAGGGCTCAACACTGTTTGAGGCCCCCATCTTGCACTTTCTTCATTATCCCTCTTGTATGCCATAATCTTGCATAGTATTTTTGGCCTATATGTAATCTTTTTTGGAGCATAATATAAACTGTAAATAGGCTTATTTTGAGCCCCTCTTCAACATTGAAGAAGGGCTCATCACTGTTTGGGACCTCCATGTACCACTTGTTTTTATACCCCTCTTTGTTCCCCATTTTTGGCATGATTTATTAGCCTATTGTGCTTCCATTTTTGGACGATTTTCAGAACTGAAAAAAGTCTTATTTTGGCCTCCTCTTCATATTTCATTAAGGGTATTTCACTGTTTGAGGCATCCTTTATATACTTTGTGTTATATCTCTCTTTTTTGGCCATATTTTGCATGATATTTTTGGCTTGTATACATGCTGTTTTGGGTCCGGCCATCAACTGTAAAGTGCATTATTTTTGGTCCCTCTTCAGTGTTGTAGAAGAGTCTTTCTCTTTTTGGGCTTTGCATCTACCATTTGCTCCTTTGTCCACTTTTTGGCCCATTTCTTGCATGAGAGTTTAGCCATACATGTGCTGGTTTTTGTGGCTTACCATAAACTGTAAAAGATCATGTTTTGGGCCCCTCTTCAACTTTGTTGAAGGGCCCTAATCTGTTTGGAGACAGCAGCTGTGAGTTGCTTCTTTATCTCGCATTTAGGGCCATTTCCGCATGCTAGTTTTGCCCTGTTTTTGTTTGCTGTTTGGCCATGCTTTGAACTGTAAAAATGCTTATTTTGGGGCTGCCTTGCTTCTGTCTTTTCACTCCATGTACCAATTATGCATGCTTTGTATAGCTGTAAGCCATTTCATGTACCTAGTTTCGCATTTCGGAAGAAATCCCATGCATCGGGTGTCATTTCGCCTTGTTTCGGGGCTGCTTTCCCCCTCATTTTGCTACTGATTTTTTCATTTTTGCATATCATATTCCATGTCTTTGCCATGTCTCATTAGAGTGGCATTTCGGTGCCTGAGGGTCGGTTCTCGGTTTGCGTGCACGCGTGCACGCATTTCGAGTTGTCTTGTTTTCATATGATGGCCTCCTATATGAGTGTGGCTGAGGCTCTCTCATGTTGGTGTAAGCCCATCATTGTATTGCGTATTCCATTTCATCCATAGCATTGTGTATGCCCGGTTGTATATTACCTCGTGTAGCGTGTATGCCATTCCATAACATTGTGTATGTTAGGATTGTATCTTAGTTGCATTTCATGCATGTCATGCATATTGCATCGTGTTCGGGATAGGAGTTAGCCCGGGCACGGGAAACGAGGCGCATTTCGTACTCCGAGTAACGGGACGTGTCTCAATTCCCCAGTCACCGACACTCCGGATCGTCCATGATGGAGTTAGGTCTTGTTGTGTTTTCATGTGCATTCATTTCATATTAAATTGTGCAATTCGAATCCTCGGCCATCATTCCTCGATATGCGTGATTGGTGGCACGAGGATCGAGGCATGCACATATTTGTGAAAATACATTGCTATGCCCCTTTCCTACTCTCTGTTGCAGCAAATGAAGAATCAGCAACTTTTCGGGGCTTGGCACGCATTTCAAGAACAGGTGCAAACAGAGGCTAATTGGGGCATCCCGATGGATTTCCGCGCAAAGCAGCCTAAATATACATCATTCATCAGAAGCAAGGCAGTTCTTGACTTGCACGCCAGTTTTACAGCTTTATTAGTTAATTTGTTAATTAATTAGGAATTTGTATATTATTTGGACTGTAATATTTGGACTGTACTATTCTTTTATTCGGGACTGTAATTATTTATTTAGGACTGTATATTTATTCGAACCCTCCGTGCGAGGGCAATGTTGTAATAAGTGTGCGTGTGTGTGTTGTATGTCTTCCAACCCCACGTCTTTCTCCCTTTTATTTATTCGCTTATAATGGTTAGATTAGGGCATGTTTCAATTAGCATACAGTATGATAGCATGTTTGCATTCATTCATCTGTTTTGCATGCACCGGGCTCGGCGCATCATACTAACTGCATTGTATTTTCAATTCCAAATTGAATACATGTTAGCTGTAGCATTTCATATGCCGTGTTTAGAATAGCCGAGCCTGCTATAGTTGCATTTTTGTATGTGTTGCATTAGGCATTTCTGTCTACTTAGGATCATGCATGATTTCTAAAGTAGTTTCTGTTTTAGCTTAGAGTACTCTGTGAGTTTTTATGCTTTAGCATCCTTGCATGCGTGTGAGTGATTGCCATGATAGCATGCTTACCATGAGGCTATTTGCTTATGTGATGTAACTGCCTGAATGCCTGTGGGTGAAGGTTAGGTTGTTAGGATTGGAACAAATCATTGACTGTGAGTTTTAAGCCCACTAGATAGTAGCAAAACCATTTTTTCTAAGCCTACCCGAGGGTGGCAAAATCTGCATTTTAAGCCTACTTGAGAGTAGCAAACCACCTTTCGAAAAACAAACATGAAATGTTCTGTTCCAATTCGGGCGACCCGATCTATACTTGTATGCTGCGCGCATCACATAGTAACCTAGGCTAATAACCGGAATAAGAACACATAATGTTTTCAAAAATAGATATCATGGTTAGTAGAGGCCGGTCTCTGACCGGGCGAGCGGGGGTGCTCACGAAGTGACCTTCCCCAATCGTACCCAAGTTTCCGAGCCGAGGCAACTTTGGTGATGACGGACACGTGGCCTTTGGCACCGAGTCAGGGTTTCCTAAATTTTCCCAAAATAAAATATTTAGGTGGCGACTCTGTATCTGGCAAAGCAGTCCATGTTTGGCACTTCTTTCAAAAATCAATTTTCTCAAAACGATTTGCCGGATTTGGACTCTTTGGTTCAGATTAAGAACCGTGACAAAATTTGAGAGTCTTGAGTTGTAGTGACCCCAAATGAACGGAACGGGAGCTCGTCCCCCCGGGAGCGTTCGGGGACGTCTACACTATCTTTTTGACAGATCTTAAGAGGTATTAACATAATGTCTCATAAGTAACGTGGAGATAGGTAGGTATAAGGTCACATAATATATATGAATCAAAACATCCCCTCTGCTTTTCTTTGCTTTAGGCAAAGTAGTAATTGAAGAGGAACAAAAATTTGTCCCTGCAGCTTTTCTTTGCTTCGAACAAAGTAGTGATTGAATAATGATAATAAACAAATTTACAATACAAAAGGAGTCATCAAATTATACACAATAATTAATATGACAGGAAAAAATAATTTTCTAAAATTTCCTCCAAAAACAACGATTTGAACCAAAAATTTTTGAAAATCATAACTTTTTCAATATAACTCCGATTAAAGCCCATTTTATATGGATGGTCACAAAGAATACTTTCAAAATATGTAAATTTCACTTACATAAAAGAAAAATAAAAAATTGAGATAAAAAATCCGCTTTTATGGAATTTTCTAAAAACTTTTCTCAACATGCCACGATATTCAATAATATTGAATTAAACATGAATAAAACTAATCTATGAAATGCAAATCATATGAAGTGAAAACAAGCAACTTGGCTCTAATACCAATGAAAGAAAAATACGAGTAATCATATTACTTGATGCGGAAACGGTTTGGATTGGATGCTTGAATTACGAGGCTCGTCTGGAAAACCCTCTGTCAATTGAGAAGCTACTAAACCCCAAGACAAGTGGTCGAATGGTAAAGTCTGGAGGATAAAATTCATAGGTCTCGAGTTCGAATCACCCCTTGGGGCCACTGGAGGTTTGCCTGGTCGTTAACTTCAAGGACCTCAGGATTAGTCCTGGCTTCCCTTAAAATCGGCGGGTTGGGGATACCTGAGTTATGAAAAAAAAAAAATTGAGAAGCTACTAGAGTTTCTCAATATTTATCCACACTCTAAATTCAACCCCAAGACAAGTGGTCGAATAGTAAAGTCTGGAGGATAAAATTCATAGGTCTCGAGTTCGAATCACCCCTTGGGGCCACTGGAGATTTGCTTGGTCGTTAACTTCAAGGACCTCAGGATTAGTCCTGGCTTCCCTTAAAATCGGCGGGTTGGGGATACCTGAGTTATGAAAAAAAAAAAATTGAGAAGCTACTAGAGTTTCTCAATATTTATCCACACTCTAAATTCCTAAATTTTCAAATGGTAACCTCAAGATAGATTAATAGAGAGAGAACTAATTGTTTTTGTGATGATCTTCACAATGTTAAGCATACACTTATATAGCCATCTTTGGCAAGGCCATGTGTACCTCATGGTGTCTAAAACCATGTGTCTCTTATGGTTAGGCCACACCATATGTACAACATGGTTTCCAAGACCATGTGTCCCTTATGATTATGCCATGTGTGGATGGACCATAGGTACCATGTGGCTTTCAAGGTTAAGCCACACCATGTATACCGCATGGTTTCCAACAATAGAGATGTGCTTAACAATATAGAATTTATGTACACTCTGTAGATTGAAATGATAAAGGAAACAAGAAATTGATAAGGTGGGTCACCCTTCGAACTTGTTGACAAAAAAAAAAAAAAAAAAAAAAAAAAAAAAAAAGTGGCCAAGTTGATGAAATGGTTACCAACTCAAAATCAAAAACATAATTTGACTTGTACAGTATGCAAGAGCTCATTTCAGCAAGAGGTAGGGGAAAAAGAAACACCTAATGTCTTCATGATACATTAGTATAACAATCCTTGCACTGTGTAAGTTAAACACACTTATATTTCTTATACCTAAAAAAACTCTATTTCATCCTAGTTTATACATTTTATGCACATGGCAGCAAGAAGAAGGATCGTTGTGCAATTCTCATGGTGGCAATACAGAGATTGTTGCAACAACCACGCACAGTGAACGTAGGGAGCTTCTATTTTCACACCATGGTTTACCTCTGGTGAGATGGTGGTGGTGGTGGTGGTGGTGGGAGAGGAGGGGCTGCAAGGATGGAGGGCTGGGGAGAGGAGGTCACTGTGCTAAGGGGCTGTTGAGGAGGTGGATGTTGGTTGTACTGGGTGGTGACTTGGTTTAAAGTTTGTTATTTCTATCTTTTTGGGTCTCAATATCTTTTCCTTCCAAAGGGTTCCACTTTTCTTGATCTCTAGAGATTAGAGGGCAGTGTTTCGGGTGTAGCTAGAGGTGGTCATTTTTACTCCCCCCCTACCCCTCTTTCTGGAGGACCCATCCTTTGATTTTCTTGCAATCGTCCATTTTTATTAATAATACTCTCTTTCCGTTGTTGCCGATCAAAAGGTGGGAAAAAAGGTTATAAAGCATCTTCATGTTTATCCTCATATTTATGCAAGTTAAACTCGTCTTAACATTAAAGGTTGGCAGTGATGATGGATTTTATTAGGTGTTTGTTTTCTCAAAAGTACTATCTTAGGTTTTAAGTTTATCTCCTAATCATCTCTTCTTGTCTTTTACAATTCAAAACTGTAGCAATGAGTACTAAAATCCATATATGGGCCTAAATAATCTTTGACAGTGATTTCACTACAACAAAATACACTTTTAACGACTAATTTTTTTTTTACCTTGAACATCAACAGAAAAACAAAACTAGATTTTTTTTTTTTTTAGTAGCCCACAATGATATATATATAAGCCCTTGCAAATTTTTAAAACAACTCTTGATCCTAAAATTAAAAAATATATAAATAAAAAATAAAAAAGAAGAAGAAATTCATGTTGCATGGGTGGCTTGCAACATACTCTTGGGGTATACCCCTAAAGGTTTTTTTCTACATGGCCAAAACAGCTCAAAAGAATAAGTGAAAAGTAGTGATGGTGCCCTTCAAAAGTGGGAAAACAAGAAGAGTAGTAGGAAGTGGGGAAAAGTGTGATTGTTTTATGAAGAGTTGTAGTTGATCTATCTACAAGATTTTGAGCCAATAATTGGAAACAGTTCTTATCACCTTCTGTATGATTACAATCTTGTATCCTAAACTTCAGAGCATATCTTTAATAGTATCTCAAATTTCTGTGTCCAATTTCAAAATTTACAAAGTTTGTCATTTTTCTAATTTAATTTATTTTATTATTTTGCACTAATATATTCTACTTTTCTATTTTATCTCCCACATCCTATGTGATTCCGTATTTTATTTTATGCAAATTTGAATTGTTATTTTTTTGCCGCATACGTATTTTAAAGTTTCATTTTTTAATTTGCATTAGTATTTTTTAGAATAATAAATTATAAATATATCCCTTAAAATTTGTTTAAATACAAATTCCTCCATATAATTTTAAAAATTATAAATATTCCATTATCAAAAAAAATTATTTAACAGAATTAACAAAAAAAAAATTTCTATCTACTTTTCTATACAACAATAAAAATATCTTAGTTTTTAATTAAAATATATTTATGACACTATTAAAATTGTTAATTAACTTAATAATTTATTAATAAAATGATTTGTTATATGACTGGAAACTTGAAAGATCGAAATATAATTTTTAGAACTATAAGAGATCTATATTTTAAATAAACTTCAGGGTTCGCTTGGAATGTGAGTTGACTTTTTAGTTATTTTAACCTGGGCTAAAAAGTCTCGCTGCAGATAAGTTTTTTTGGCTTTTTTTATTTTTGTAAGAGAAAAAAATAAAATGATTATGGTTAGATGTGACATTTTATCTTATTTAATTAAAATAACCTATTTTATCTTATATGACTATTTTAGTCCCAATGGGACAGCATCCCAAACACTTTACCCTATTATTAAAGGAATTATAGATACATGCAACTAGAGATATATGTTCCTATTGTACAGTAAATTTTTTAAGTTATATGATCATTATGCCAACAAATACTGATGTTTACAAATAGTTTTTACTTTGATAATAAAACAGTGACCCAGTGAAGAAAGGATACAACCCCATAAATGCCCTCCTAAGCTTGTAGCATCTACGAACTCAAACAAGAGAATACTTTAATTTGATTTCAGATTTACAATTTAATTTCATATTATAATGAGAAATGTTTCGTAGCTCGAAACACTTTTGCCCCCATATGGCTCGACTGCGCAAAATAATGTCGTTTTAGACATTTTTTTTTTTTTTTCCTCTTTTATATCTGAAATAGGAGAGAGAGGGGAGAGAAAGAGAGAAAAGAGGAAGGGCGCACACACACACACAGAGGGGAGAAGAGGGGAGAAGAGTACACAGAGAGAGAGAGAAAGAGAGAGAGAGAGAAAGAGAGCTGGTGATGGCGATAGGCAACGGTGATGGCGATAGGCAACAGTGATGGGCAATGGTGCGAGACGGTGATGGGCGACGATCCTCTCTGTTCTCTCTGTGTAGATCTGTTTTTGGTTTGTTTTGTTTTGTTGATTTTGAAAATCTATGTTTGATGATGATGATGTTGTGTGTTGTAGTTGCTGTTGATGGTGATTTGAACAGTCTTATTGGTTTTGTTGGTTGTTGATGATGATATCTGATTGGTTTTGGTTTTGGTTGTTGATTCTCTCTGTCTCTCCTCTCCTCTCATCTTCTCTTCTTTGAGTTATGAAAAAAAAAAAAATACAGAACAATGTCGTTTTGAGATTTCAAGCCATTCAAACCTCTGATATTTCGAACTCCGTAACGGTACTGTATTATAATCCACTATATGTAGAGAAAATGGTTGCCTCCTAGCCAAAATGATATGACCTCAACCGTCAACCTTGTACACCCAAGTAGGCTTATGTCTAATTTGAAAATAAATTAATTTAACAATTTTTTTGATTAAAATATAAAGTAAAAAAATTAATATATCTCAAATGATTTTTAATATTTCATAAAACGATATGTAAAAAATAAAAAATATATATATTTAATTGTTTAATATAAGTTTTAAACTTTTTAATTTTTTTTTAGTAACATTACATGCAAATTGAAGGCTTAGGATTCATTTGAAATTTAGATTCACTTTTTGACTTTTTAATTATTTTAATTTGAGATTAAAAAATTTCATTTAGAATAAATTTTTTAACTTTTATAAAAATAATAATAATAATTATAAATTAAATATAATATTTTATTTTATTTAACTAATATAATTTATTTTATCATATATAACTATTTTAGCTCAATCTAATATCCCAAACTGGCCTTACCAAGTTCCAACCACATGAGTCAAATAAAAGTAACAGATTCGATGTATTTTTTATAACAGCAAAGATAGAGATCCACATTATTTTTTGTGGAGGATCCCCACAATTTCCTTTGTGATCCACATTATTCATGATGTGAACTCCACATATACATGAGTGAACCCCATACATCATCAATAATGTAGATCAATAATGGGGTTATGGGATCCTTTGTAGGGGTCTGACTCGTTTTTCTTTTTATAAAGATAAGAAGGACTAGCACTCAAAAACTAATCACTTTCGAGTACCTACCAACTATCCCAAAAGAAAAGTTATTACTTATCATCACCACACATTCATATCAGCCAAAAAAATAATGAAAGAGATATTCCCAAAGATGAACTATCAAATTCAGATTCAAAGTTTCAAACCAAATACACACATGTATTTAGAATAACAATAACAATAATAATAATAATAGTGGGAAGAAGAAGAAGAATACGAATATACATGAACTGATTGAATAGATCACTCCACCTCGAATTCAGATTCAGATCAAGCAGGTGTTGAATTCCCGGCGACATGTTGTGAGGTCCACAGTATGTCCTTGAGCGCCGGCCGGAGCTCCTTACTGCAGAACTGGTTGTATTCCAAGGTGTCGCCGCTCGATTTCTTGACTTCCACCACCAGGAACGACGGCGTCACGGCGAAGATCTCCGCTGCGATCGCCAGCTTCCCTTTCCTCCCGCTCTCCTCCCCCTGCAGCCTCAAACTGGAGTCTCCGCTCTTCTTCACACTGAACTTCCCCGCCGTCTTCGCTGCCACCGATTCCAGCGTCGATATCACGCTGCTCGCCGGTCTCGTCGTCGCGAACCTCATCTCCTCCTTCTCCTCCCTCTTCTTCTCCTCGAACAACGGCGACAAATCGAAACCTTCCGATAACGAAATTATGTGAAAAGCATTCAGAGTCTCCGTCTCTTTCCCCTTTCCAGAGTCCTCGAAACTTGTGATCTCTTCAGATCTCACAATTTTCGGATTCGTCTTCTTGAACCACGACGAATCCATGATCTTCGCGATGTTGATTCGAGTGTTCGGATTCGGATCCAACAGTTTCGTAATCAATCTCCTCGATTCAGGCGAAAACCATGGCGGACACTTGAAATCTCCCCTGTAGATCTTCCGATACATCGCAACAATATTATCATCCTGAAAAGGCAAGAATCCAGCTAACAAAACATACAATATGACGCCGCAGGACCAAATGTCCGCCTTAGCGCCGTCGTAGCCCTGTTTTCCGATCACCTCCGGCGCAACATATGCCGGAGTTCCACACGTTGTGTGGAGGAGCCCGTCCTGCCGGAGATGATTCGTGAACGCGCTGAGTCCAAAATCGGTGACCTTCAGATTTCCATCGTCGTCGAGCAAGAGGTTTTCAGGCTTGAGATCTCGATGATAGACGCCGCGACTATGGCAGAAATCAACGGCCGAGATCAACTGCTGAAAGTAATGTCTAGCGATTTCTTCACGTAATCGGCCTTTGGCAATCTTCGAGAAAAGTTCTCCGCCTCGAACGAGTTCCATAGCGAAGTAGATCTTGGTCTTACTAGCCATGACTTCATGAAGCTCCACTATGTTTGGATGTTTCACCATCTTCATCACCGATATCTCGCGCTTAACTTGTTCCATCATCCCAACCTTGATCACTTTCTCTTTCCCGACGATCTTCATCGCCACGCTCTTCCCAAGTCTGCAAGTGGTCGTGCATGGTACACCTTCGCGAAGGTTCCGTGCCCTAACATCCTTCCTAACTCGTACTTTCCATGGAGAACGCTCTTGTCGATAGCCATGAAACTGTGTAGATAAACTAAAAAAGCAAATAAAAGAACGAGAAATGTTTACAGGTTATGGTGGTGGCAGTGGTGGTGGTGGAATCACCCGTCTTCGACGTGTTTCCGGTGACAATTCCTGCCGCCGGCGGATTTCTTGGCTCTACCTCCGCTCTTAGAAAACGAAGCTTTGCTCATCTCTCTGCATTCCCTATATCTATCTCCACACTTCACAAACTCCGAAATGGAGGTTTTTTAGGGCAGAAAAAGAACCAGAGCCTGAATGAATCAACTAGTTCTCCTTGTTTCACTTAAACCCCCACTCTCTTTATAGAGCAAGGGTTTGGCTTTGGTGCGAATTTACTTTTTTATCATTTGGCTTGTGGATCCAATGGTTGTGGTGATTCTAGTTGCTGGACGCGTGTCGTGATCTTGGGTATAGGGTATATTTTTTTATGAGGGATTATTAAATATTTCAAGAGTAGGATAATGTGTCAGCTCATAATAATGATTAATGAAAAAATATAATAATATATTTTTATTTTAAGAGGTCATGATTTGAAAAATTGTAGATAAATATATTTTTATAATTTTTATAATAAAAAATATATAAAAAAATAAAAAAAGTAATTAAAAAATAAAAATAAGATGTTAATAAATATGATTCAAATAAATATATATAAGTAAAAAAATTATATTTTTTTTAATTTATCTCAAATACCTACTAAATAATTAAAAAAAATAATATAACATAATAAATGATGATAGACGAATAAGTATAGATTCGTAACACTCCGAAATACTTAATAATTGATCTTGCTGACTGGTGTGGGGCCCGTTACGGTGTCGTGTTGTGTTATTAATGCATGGTATAAATGTTTTGCTCAGAGTATGAAAACCGCCCGGCACTAGGTAATATTACCATTTTGTCCTCAGTATTATCAACGATAAATATGTTGCGTTTGGAATATTCTATTCGAATAAAGTATTTTGCAATTCTATGGGCCCAGGGTGTGAATGTTTATGACTGCTTCTGATACGATTATCTATGATTGGAAAAGTGTGTTAATCCATACTTTACCCTTTCAGTATTTTTTTAAATAGATGATCGTGTGATAGAAATTCATGTGTATAGATAGTGCAGGATATATTCAGTTAAAAAAATAAAAAAAAAATAAAAACCAAAACTTGCCAAACACCACCTATAAAACAACAAATTCACCTTTTGGTATGGTGTTTTTTTTTTTTTTGTCTTGGGTTATTTTAGTCCTAAAATAATAAAATAAAATATTATATTTCAATTATAATTTATTTTTTTTTTCACAAAATTAAAAAATTAAAAATCTCATCCCAAATGAGATTTTTTAATTTCAGGTTAAAATAGTCAAAAAATCAACTCACATCCCAAACAAATGTAGAGTTCATGTGGAGTGTGGTTGACATTAATTTTTGAATAATTTCTTAATTGATAAATTTAAGTTTGTAGTATTATTTTTTATGATTTATACATATTTTATTTTAGGATAAATTATAAATATATTTTTTAAAATTTGGTCTTTTATGATTTCATAAATATATTTTAATTAACAATTTAAGTAATTTTATTATTGTATAAAAGAATAATTATAAATTTTTTTTTTTTTTGTTAATTCTGTTAAATAAAAAAATTTAATAAAAATATATTTATAATTTTTAAAATTGTAAAAAAATAATTTGTATTCTAAATAAATTTAAAAAGTTTACTTACAATTTATTCATTATTTTATATTCTAAAAATATTGTATTGGTTATGTATTCGGCCAATGGTAGATGGATAAAAAAAATAGGGAAATTATTTTTTCTTTTTTAGTGGTTTCCACGCAATAATTCAACCAAAGCAATCCTATTACAAGAATAGCTACAGCACCCCCAATAAGAAAAATATTTTTATATTAATAAAAAAAATTATAACATTAAAAATTATAAAATGATTAATTTTTGTATGAAAGTGATATTATTATTTTTTTCAAGTTATTATTGAAATGTTATTTGGGTGAAATATTAATAAATTTTAAAATGTGATCTTATAAATTGTTTAGATTTTTTTTTTTTTTTCCTCTTATGAACCTAAATATCCCATTAAATAGATATTACATAAAAAGCAACTCACTTATATGTTTGTATTTAATTTTTGAGGAATAAAAGTGAGTTTCTCCAAATGTGAAATAATACATGTGGACAATCCGGACTATAGAGATTTTAGATTTCACTCTTTTTGGAACAAATCTCACATTACCAACAAAAACATAACACTTAAATAACGTAACACTTCAATGTAACACATACTTTTTTCAAATATAACAACGTTACACTATTTTTTCCAAACGTAATAGTTCAATATAACACATTCCAATGTAATGCAAAAAAACTTCTTAATGTACTTTTTTAAACATAATACTCCAACCAATGTAATCCTAAAGTAACACTCTAATGTAACACACTTCAATATAACACCACCACAACAACAACAACAAAAACTCTTTATTTTATTTTTCTTAAACGTAACACTCCAATCAATGTAATCCAAAACGTAATACTCTAATGGCACATACAAAAACACTAATAAAAAAAAATTAGTGTACTTTTCTCAAAAATAACACTCAAATTATACATTTGGCCAAAACTTACTAATAAATTTTTTTACTCCCTTTGAAACGATTTAAAGAATTCCATATAGACTAGGAGTTTTTTTTTTTTTTTTTTTTTTGTGTTACAATGGAATGTTACACTAATGAGTTTTTCTGAAGTGTTACATTTAGGAAAAATATACTAAAGAGTTTTTTAGTGTATTACATTGGAGTGTTACATTAAAGAATTTTTTTTTTTTAAGTATTACATTGAAGTGTTATGTTTGGAAAAAGTACATTATTAAATTTTTTTAGAGTGTTATAGTTTGAAATTATAAATTTGTCCAAAACTTACTAAGGAGTCTTTATACTCCTTTTGAAATGTTTGAAAAATCGCACATCCTTTTGAAATGTTTAATAAATTCCAAATTTCAAATCATTTTTGTACTCCTTTTGAAATGTTTGAAAAATCTCACAATTCAACTCATTCCAAATAAAAAAGATTCTCATATAAAAATTCATATCAAATTTGATTCTCATAAGTTGTATATCTTATTTTTCTAATACAAAAGAAAAAAAAAATGAAACATAATAAAAATAAAAGTATAACCGTGAATTCAATTTTTAAATAATATATTAAATCTATCTTTACAAAATTCATGTGACTAATTTTGAAACTAAACAAATCATCATTACTTAAGATGGAATTTATAGATATATTTTCTATGTTATTTTTCATGTTTTTATGATTGAAAAATATAAAATATAATGAATAAAAATATAAAATCGAATTGAAACGGTCATATGGCCACATCATTTATTGAACCTATGTGATAATTTTCACGTACAAGGAGAGTCGATTATTGCATATAACATTCTAATAAAGTTTGTTAACAAGTGTCGAAAATTTAGTTAGGAAGTTTTATTTGTACAATATTTTTATTTCCTTATACTTAATTTATTTAGTGACAATAGATGGAAGTATTGGGAAAAGTGATAGATTTAAATTGACGTGGGCTAGTATAACAAATAAATATGTAAACCTCTTTAATTTGACTAACGAAATGGTCTTAGATATAGTCGAATAAAAAAAAAAATTCATATAACCAATCTCATTTTAAAGAGATTGGATACTTGATTTGATTATACTTATACTTACAAGTTCTTTCAAAATTCAAAATTTTCATTTTGTCTTATTATACATTATCTCATTCTAAATATGTTTTCATTCTTAATTTTTCATTGTCTCGTTAAACCCTTTAACCTTTTAAACTCTAATTTTACACCCAGCCACTACCACTCAACCCCTTCTCTTCATGGCCATTTTTTTCTCCTTACCTTGTGTTTAGATTACTAGCGGTTGGGCACACACGATGTGTGTGCAAATTAAATAAATAGGAATAAAAGAAAATAATAATGAAATTACTATTATAATGTGTGCTTAGCTTAAGTGGTATGAGTTCTCATACTTAAACCCATGGTCATGGGTTCAAGCCTTACCCATACTTAAACCCATGGTCATGGGTTCAAGCCTTACCCATCTCTTTGTTTAACTTTTTTAAAAAAAATAAAAATCACTGCCACATGGCATGAGGAGAGTAAAGCAAGCTTCAGGACACCATATTATGTGTTCACTTTATAATAGTATAGATAGATAGATAGATGAATTTGATTACTTTTTTCTTTTCTTTTTTTTTTCTTTTTTCTTTTTAAATATTTATTTAAATTCATGATTCAAACACAATTATAAAATTTGAAGAAAAAAAGAAAATGAAGTGGTTAAAGTGACAGTGGAAAGAAAAGAAATGGTTGGGAAGCAATTGCAGAAGGGTGAGGACACGAAGGATGGTGGCGGTGGCCCAATGGAGATGATGGAGAATGGGTGGTTAAAAGGAGAAATTAGGGTTTTACATATTTTAGTTTGAGTATTTTTTGGTAATTTTAAATAAGGATAAAATTGTATTAAAAAAATAAAATCAGAAGGTGTAAAGATTTTTTTATGGTGTAAATGGAAACACCCATATATTTAACACCAATTGATGTTATTTAACACCAATTGGTGTAAATTAGTAAGTTTTTATGGTCTGTTAACAGGTGGGTATATATTTAGCAACAATTAATATTATTAAATTGTCCTACTAATTTTAAAATTCATTATATTATAATTAATATTATTCTCAATTTTTTTTTATTGGGGATAAATATTGAGAGAATTTCATTTCAATGTAGTTTAAAAAAAATTACATATTAATGATAAATTTTATAATATTAAAAAATAATTTTATATACTTTATCATCTATCTAAAATTATTTTTTAAACTTACAACTTAACTGTTATTTCTCCATAAATATTCTTGTAGTGTGTTAGATAGAGTCACTGATTATTGGGTTTGGTGCAAAACTAGCTCAAGCTTACATTAAAATTTACATTGTAATTTTTATTTAAAAATATTTTCCTTTATTGTTTAAGATATAAAATTACTAAATAATTTTTTTGGTAAATTATACTTTTCGCTCTGAAATTTTTATTCAAATTTTATTTTTATTTTTCATCTTTTAATTGTAGCAATTACATATTTTGCCCTTTTTTTGACCAACTAATTTATGGAAAATAATTTGAGACTTTTAATTTGTCACTAGCTTAATCAAGTAAGAATCAACTATTTTGTTATGTCATTATAAGTGAATTTTAAGTATTAAATTGTGAATTTCTGACAT